TCATGTTGTGGTCCGCACGTGTAGGGATGGCACGTGACGCGGCCGCAGCACGCCCCAAGTTGCGTGGAGTGCGAGATCCCGCCCAACGCTTCTTGCAGATTTAATTTGGATTAAAAATGTTATTCTTCAAAATGTATTACTTATTACTAATTTAAATAGTAATATAATTACTTTACTTTTTACTTCCTGCCAACAGTAATTAGTTACACTATTAGTTACTGGGAAAGTAATATTATTAGTAGTAATGAGTTACTGCCCAACACTGCTGGCCTTTAACGTTACAACAACTATTATTAGAAATGAAGGACAATTGGCTTTGATAAGTCATTCAGTTTTTATTACTACATTTCTTTATGAAAAGAACATTTCAAACTAAATGTATTTGTTTTATCTGGTTTATCAGCTGCACTTACTGACTTGAAATCCTTAGCAGCTCAAAAGGTAGCAATGTGGCTCCCTCCTGTGGACCATACAGCAATCTTCCTCCACCAATATGCCCTTTCAATTTCAATCTTTTCTATACTGTTAGCCTGATGTTATTATTATTTCATAATGTCATCAGATTTAAAAAATGGGTTTTATGTGTTATTTGTTGTTTTTTATGAGATCAATGAAAGAGTGCAGAGAACAAAACATGCCATACAGTATGGTTTATTCATCATATATGTTAAATAATGTTTAATTTCATTGACTTGGTCTGCATTTGGTTGTACTGTACTTGTCACTATTATAAACACCAGTGATAGACAGATAGACAGACAGACTGAAGCAGGTTTCATGTTACACATCACTTCAGCGTCTTACCTCCAGCAGAGTCAGACCAGTTCACAGTTTAACTCAGTTGGGACAGGCGGACTATAGGACTACAGTAATAAGAGTGTTTTTTTCCTGGACCTCGTCTAACGTGGATTACGCGGCACGAGGAACCTCGACCAGACTGGACATCTTACTGTTTCTTTGGAACAGAAGATGATGAGGGAAGAAGTGTGTTTCTATTCTGGAAATTGAACTGGATGCCACCAGCTGAACCAGGGGCATTCTGAGCCGAGCTGGACCAAAGCTTAACATCTGAAGAAACAGGTTTTTATCATATACAGTAAATCATACATACGGTATATACTCTATATCGTGTTTATTTCTCTGGTTATTGTTAATGAACAGTGACTATCTCAATCTATCTGATTGTCATCTTATCCACATTAAGGATAATCATTAGGGATGAGACGATATACGATATTATCGCATATCGGAATAAAAAAACACTGATAAATTATTGTGTCCACTATTGTGATAATTGGAATTGCTTGGCTTGACTGATTGAATGGCTTGACTGGAAGAAGCTGTCTACTTCTCCAGCATAAAGTCCTATATTGATTTCCTGATTTATTTTGAACAAGGGGACAAGAGAAGCCGACATTTTCCCAGTCATTTCAAAATCCCATGGCTGAAGGCTCGGCTTGCCTGTTATATCCCACACAAAAATAACTTAAATCGGATGTGTGAAAATGTGAGGGAATGAGGTTCCTATCTGTGATGCAACAAATATGTGTTACTTAATAAAATGGAAGGTAAAGTGATTCCATTATGTTTTAGTGCCATTTTGAAAGTATGGTAAGTATATTTTCATGATTACTGTAATAATATTGTGTATTGCAACTATTTTGGCCAAGATAATCATGAAATGATTACTCACAACTACCATTCATTAGGGTGATGACTTTTTAACTTGCTCATTTAAGAGTTTAGAGTTTATGTTGTATTGTCCACCTTTACATTGTGACAACACAATGTTCATTGATCACTGTGTCCACTGAACATACTCTCTGGTTTGCATGTCCTCAAACACTGTTTTGTGGTACGGTGGTACTGTTGGGTCTCTGTAAATGTTATAAGGAGTTCGGT